AACCCCTGAGCAGAGAGCCCAAAAGCAGAGCTAGAAGAGGGAGCAGGAGAGCTTGTTCCCCTCTTGCGTTCTCTCTGCCAGGAGGTTTGGGTTTTGCAGTTGTAATTTTTGTTCCTTAAATAAATCCTGACTTACTACTGATCCTGTGGTCCGTGGATTCATTTTTTGAATTGCTGAGACCAAAACCCTGAAAATCCAGTATCATTATGAGCCATAGTGGAAGGTAGGTATAAGACAATGGAAATTGATCACATTTGTACTTTGTAAAAAGTCAATTTGCTAAAATTAAGATAGAAATGGATAAGGCCCAAAAAAGCTACAGTGGGACTGGATCAGAAGCCAATGCAGTCATCTGGGCAAGAGAGAATGGAATTGCAGCATGAATTGCAGGGTGAAGAGAAAGAGCATTGGGCAGGCTGTACAAACATGTAGGAACAAGATCAAAAGAACATAGTGATGAATTGGATGTCAATAGGATGATGAAGTAGCTTCAAGGAAGCTGCTATCCTTCAGCCTTAGATGAATGGATGGGTGGTGGAAGGATTCACAGGTAAGGGGAAGAGGAGCTCGATATCTATCGCTCTCTTGCTCTCTCCTCTCCCCCATCGCTCCCCCCAGAGCTGGAGCTGAAGCTGGGATAGCTTTCTCCTCACAAGTCCTTCTGCTATTCTCTGAATTCCTGTCACTGTTCTTGACTCTTCAGAAACTTCCAGGTCACTTGCGTCTATACTTTGTGCTATTTATCAGCTCCCTCCAGTCTTCATTTCCTTCCCCATTAATGGAGAGTCCAGGGTTCATCACTTCTATCACACTCTTCCCTATATGCTTACATCCACTGCACAGTTATCCATCTGTTACATGACTGGCAGCACTCCAAACCTGGAATAATCCAACTATCTGTCTTCTCTGAATTTTATCCTGGGTTGTACAGGCTACTGGATGAAATCTCACAACCACATAGATCATGACATGTACACTGCCAACCTCAACTAGGTCCTCACACCACTCAGCAGCCCTGTTTGCCATGATCTCTCCAGTTCTCCCCAAAATCAACTTCCAAATTTCCTGTCTTCTCACCAGATCTCCCAATCTTCAACCCCCTTGCTCTCTCAAGTGACTCCTTCACTGAAGAAAAAACCACCATCAAAATGATGCCCTCAGCTTCTGACAACTCTTCTCACTCCTGTCCCTTCAGCTACCATTTCTTTCTTTTTTCCTCTTTACAACGTAACTTCACGGAAAATATAGTTTGTTTGAATACTCTGTTGCTTCATCTTTTCCACTATTTCTGAGCCCACTGAAATTCTGATTTCTGTTTCACTACATCACTGAAACTGCCCTCACCAAGGAAATCAAAGACCTAGTCTTTATCTTTCTTAACCTTTCAACAGCATTTGTCATTGCTGTCCTGGTTTCTCAGTTACTTTAAAAAAAATTCCATGACCCCAACTCTCCTAATTTTCCTTTTCCTGCATCTCTTGTCTCTTTCTCCCCTCAGTCTCCTTTGCAGCTTCTTTTCTCTACCATGAGGGAAACCGTCACACTCTCCTTAGGCAGACTTATCCCTACATGGTTCCAATCAGTTGCCACGGTGATGTTTCTCAAAGCTTTATCTCTAGCCCATCCCTTGTCCCTGAGTTTCAGACCCAAATAGCCATCTATGAACTTTAACATCTCCATTTGTCATCATCTCAAACTGTACATTTCCACCTGAATGTATCACCCTCCTGTCCATTCCAGCTTCCCTCTCCATTTAATCACTATGGCCTTTCAAATCTACTTTTTTAAAAGCATAATCTTTTTTTCAATTTTATTTTATTTTATTTTTATTATTTGGGATTCATTGAGAGGAAAAAGAATTAGATTACACTGATTGCAATTGTTAGATAAAGTCCTTCTTATAATTATGTCCCACCCCCAAGTTGTGCTATACACCGTGACCCCCTCATTCCCCTTCCTCCTCTCCTCTCCCCACTTGCTCATTCTTCTACCCACCTTGTATTAGCTCATCTACTGCCTTCATATTAGAATTGAGTACATTGGATTCTTGCTTAAGGTGACCAGATTTAAACATTGGTAAAGTGGGACACCATTGACCGGGGTGGGGGGGGGGGGGGAGGTGGGTGTTCTTAATTAAAAATTTGGTCTATATGGAGCAACAAAAATTTTCATAAAATGCAAAAATAGCATTGTAATATATATTTTTAAATTTCAATGTAAGTACAATTTACAAATGTAATACATTAAAAATTATGTATAGTATTATTATATTCTTTGGCATATTTCTCATTTAAGTGATTTTTTTTAGTAGATTGCTGTCGTTGTTTAAAAGGTCATGAAATTTTTCACAAGAATCTGTTAAATTATATTTCACACATAAAATGGCTTTCAAAGTCTCAACACTTAATTGTGATTTTTCTGATGTTCACACTTTATTTACTGTAGAAAAATGCGTTCAGTCGCAGCATTAGTTCCTGGTAAGGATAGCACATATCCCACAATTTTTAGTGCATTATGTATGGAACATGGTTTGTTTCAAAATGATGAAATATTTCTAACCATTTGTTCTCTATTGTGATTTTTGCTGATGCCCAAGATTTAACCTTTTCCTTATCAATATTTCTTTTAATAAAGATACCTCGTAAGGCTCGGCGCCTATAGCTCAACCGGCTAAGGCGCCAGCCACGTACACCTAAGGTGGCGGGTTCGAATCCCCAGCCCGGACCCGCCAAAACAACAATGACGGCTGCAACCAAAAAAAAAATAGCCGGGCGTTGTGGTGGGCGCTTGTGGTCCCAGATACTTTGGAGGCCGAGGCAGAAGACTCGCTTGAGCCCAGGAGTTGGAGGTTGCTGTGAGCTGTGATGCCACGGCACTCTACCCAGGGGGACAGCTTGAGGCTCTGTCTAAAAAAAAAATAAAAATAAAAATAAAAATAAAAAAAGATACCTCGTAAGTCATAAGTGTCACTTGGCTAGACTTTTTGCTGCCACTATAAAATATAAATAATATGAGTACTGTCTGCTAAATTCATGAAATAAATAAATTACCTAAATTATCTGAATAGCTGATTTGTTGACATCACTTGTTTAACTAGCACTAGCACGCAGCATGATCTGTATCATCTGAGAGACAGTAACAAAATGTTTTCATGGTTGCCAATGCCAAAAAATGCCATTGTTCGCTAAGTCCAAACAATGGTGGTCGAATTCTAACAACTGATCAACAATGCAAACTTTGATAATCAGTTCTTGATAATCAGTTTTCAACAATTATTTGTTATTATTAAAGTTTAACATTATAAAATTAACAAAAATAATATAAAACTCATATCCTGGCAAAATAACCACATGGCAGCCAAAAACCATCTATTCCCTTCCCATTCTCCCGCTGTTCCCTAGCTTGTCGTGCATGCTTTCCAAAAATCAGGACTTTTTAAAAACGCCACAGGATGCGGGACAAATTGTTAAAAATCGGGACTGTCCCACCAAAAGCGGGACGTCTGGTCACCTTATTCTTGCTTCTCCTTTCTTATGATGCTTTACTAAGAAGAATGTGTTCCTCTCCATCCAGGTTAATACAAAAGATGTAAAGTTTCCATTTTTAGTACCTGAATTGTATTCCATGGTATACATATACCACAGTTTGTTAATCCATTCCTGTTTCCACATTTTGGCGATTGTAAATTGAGCTGCAATAACCAGTCTAGTGCAAATGTCCTTGTGATAAAAATGATTTTTTTTCTTGTGGGTAGCTGCCTAGTAATGGGATTGCAGGACCAAATGGGAAGTCTAATTTGAGTTCTTTGAGGACTCCATACTTCCTCCCAAAAAGGCAAATCTACTTCTAATGTCTTTAAAATACACACACTTTTTTCCACTGCTCCCACTGTATCTAGCCTGTGAACCCCACACTGGGCTCCCTGGACCACGGTTACCAGTTGGAGAAATTAAGCTCTAGGAGGCTCTCCAAATCTCCCTCCTAAACTAAGGGATGCTGCTCACCCTGTGCTTTAGGGAAAACAAGCTTTATTACCACATCAACCACAGATGGGCTAGAAGCCTACAATCACTTCAGAGTTTTAACAGTTGCCAGGAGTAACCATGTGACCCAGGAGGATGTGGCCAGCTTCCCCCTTGCATTTTGCAGACAACCACCCTTGCAATATAATGCATAGGCAGTATGGGGTACTCGTAAAGAGTGAAGTTTCCAAAGTTAGACTGTGTTCAGATACTGGCTTTGCTCTTAGTAGCTGGGGACCTTGGGCAAGTTACTCAACCTCTGCTTTCTCATCCATAAAACGGGCAAAATACTAGTGCTTTTTAAGATTGTAAACTTAAGAAGGATTATTATTGCCCAAAGGAAATCTAGCCACAGACACAAGTTTCTCCCTCAGCAAAATGTAAAGCACTATTTTCCTAGCACTTCAGAAGGCAATGCCCAGGGTTCAAGCTCCAGGCGCATGCCTAAAGGCACCAGAGTGATGTCAAAAGAGCTGTGGGCTTGGAGCCATATATGTGGTTCCAGGCATGATTCCTATAGGACCCTGGGCAAGCTCCCCCTGCAGCAGCATACACATTCCAAAATTCAAGGAGGTGATGCTGGATAAGGTCAGTAGCTGACCCGGCCCCGACTCCGCAGTCTAGCTGTCCAGACTGCGCAAGCGCAAAGGGTACATCCACCGCCCCGGCGCCCTGTGGACCGGACTCGAGGAAGTCGCCGAGCACCATTCTTGCAGGTCCAATCACAAGAGACGTTCCCTCCCGTTCCCCGCCCTGTAGGCGGGAGAATCCAATCTACGACGAGAGCGTAGGCCCTACCTACTGCGGGAGCCTGCTGCGGCAGTGTTGTGTGTTGATCCTGTTTCTGGTTCGGTTTTAGGCTAGTGGTAGGTGGTCCACGGTTTCCGAAGCAGGTTTCCGATTGGGCTCCCGGAGATGTCTGTGGCCTTCGTACCAGACTGGCTAAGGGGCAAGGCGAAAGTCAATCAGGAGACTATCCAGCGGGTAAGCGCTGACGCGGGCAGAGATCTTGAGGGGCTGCGGGGTGCGGTAAGCTTCCTGAAGGAGCAGCCTCAATGCCGAGACTTGTAGTCTGCGAAGGGTGTTGACCGGCTGGTATGGAGTGAGATGGAAACGAAGTCAGCCAAGGAACTGGGGTAGGACAGTCCGGCGTGGGGCATGCAGCCCTGCCCGCCGTCCTAGTGTAATACTACTGCATTGACCTTTTTTTTGACTTTTCAGCTCTTGGAGGAGAATGACCAGCTGATCCGCTGTATTGTGGAGTATCAGAACAAGGGCCGGGCGAACGAGTGTGTCCAGTAAGTGTCCCTTTCTGCCCCTGCCCCTTGAGTGGAGGGGAAGCCAGTGTGCTAATGCAGCAGCTGTCCTGAACTAGGAGTCTTGCGTGGGTTGCAATTGACTCTTACTTTACAGTTGAGGAGAGGGAGGCTCAAAGGGGTTACTTACTTGCCCAAGACCATACAGTCAGTACATTGTGAAGCCTAGAGTTAGACGTGGTTTCCTTTCAAAATTTGACTTATTTTCACTGCAAAACCTCGTTTATGTGAAGCCATGCCAGCTGATGACAACCGAGACGGTGAGGGGAGTGCACAGAATATTCAGCTCAGGAGATAAGCCATGGCCCTTTCCTCATCGTGAGTCCCTACCTCATCCTTTTTCTGTTAAGTGAATGGGGTCATTTGACTGCTAAGCTACCCCCCCCCCCGTTTCTAACTTGCTGTCAGTTGGCATGACACAAAGATGAATAGAAGATTTCCAAGTGCAGCAAAGGTAAATTCTGTGTAATAATTTAATGTGCTCTCTAATCATATACCAAAATGAAAGAAAATAGAGTCTGAGCATCATTTCCAAATCTAGTCCAAGAATTATGCCCCATTTCTTACAGAAAAATATACATTTCATTGTTCCTGAAGAAATGTTTAAGAACTCCTACCCCATAGAAAAATCACCTACAGTCCCTCAGTGATTACCCCAGTGGAATAGTAGAGATACCCATTTTGGTAAAAGTCTTTACATTTGACTCTAACATTTGGTAATTTGCTTTTTTATAGTTTATTTTTTACAGTAAAACTTTCTGATTTTTCCATATATGAAAAAATGGTTGCAAAATTTTCTGTTTGGGGTAATGATTCTCAACCCAGGGATGAGATAGTTACCAAAAGCTCTTAGTGTGCTTTTTCACATTGTGCATGTCCTGTTTCCTGGCCACTGGTCTACTTTGTCTTCATGGGTGGGGAGCACTACTCCTTGATTGAGAATTGCTGCTGTAGAAAGCTCATACATTGGTCAGGAAGTAACTTGTCCTTTCTTTGAAGTTTGTTCAAAAGATAAGTACAGTTGGCCCTCTATATCTGTAGGTTCTGTCTGTACAGATTTAATCAACAGCAAGTAAAAAATATTTGGGGGGGAAAAACAATAAAAAATAATGGTACAACCATAAAAGCTAATACAAATGAAACACAGTGGGCTGGGTGCATTGGCTCACACCTATATCCTAGCACTCTGGGAATCCAAAGCGGTGGCTCGCTTGAGCTTAGGCGTTCAAAACCAGCCTGAAGTAAAGTGAGACCCAGTCTCTAAAAAATAGAGCTTGGGCTGGGGTGGTGCCTGTGGCTCAAAGGAGTAGGGCACTGGCTCCATATGCTGGAGGTGGTGGGTTCAAACCTAACCCCAG